GTTGAAATGGACCGCTTCTCATACAAAGAGCTAGCGACCCAACAAGCGTCCAGTGCAACATCCTGCTGTTAACCAAGCTTTTGTGTGCAACCAAATCCCTGTACCAAGATCTTTTCTAGGTTTTCTTCCAAGACCTCCATGAAACCATCTTGTTTAGCAAATCTTGTTGCCCACTCCACTGAAACACGATAGAGATAGAGAGAGAAGTTTGCTCTCAAATACATGGGGGTTGTTCAAAAGTCCTTTCATTTTTTCCAGGCCTTTCGCAGGACCTTCGCGAAGCTTTCGCAAGCTTTCGCGCGTGGGGTTTTACCACTGTCGGCGAAAATGGTTTTTCGTTGAGGCTAGAGGCTTTCAAGGATTCATGCAGTTGCCCTGGCACGTCTTGCGTCCTCTGATCACTGACACATTGATTGCCGAGGAACAGGAAGCCAGCCAACCAAGCCACTTTCATTTTGGTGTGTTTTTGGTTGGGCGCAACCCTCCATGAACAAGAGACGGCTCAGGCCATTTTGCTTAGACTTCCAATTCGCTTTTTCCCGGGACGGGAAAAAGCAAAATGGTTCAGACTTCCAATTTCCTTTTTCCCGGGCCACGAAAAAGCAAAAGGGTTCAGACTTCCAATTTGCTTTTTCCCGGGCCGGGAAAAAGCAAAATGGTCCAGACTTCCAATTTGCTTTTTCCCGGGCCGGGAAAAAGCAACATGTATCAGACTTCCAATTTGGAAAGCAACTTGCCTCACTCGCTGAAAAAAAAAAACTTTTTCAGGATCACGAAAGGCAAACTGGATGTCCAGGCCGCTCATCCAATTTGCAACTTGTCCCGGCTCAAGCTTCCAATTTGCTTTTTCCCGGGCCGGAAAGAAGCAAAATGGCTCAGACTTCCAATTTGCTTTTTCCCAGCAAAAGGCTCAGGCTTCCAATTTGCATTTTCCCGCGCCGGGAAAAAGCAAAATGGTTCAGACATCCAATTTGCTTTTTCCCGGGCCTGGAAAAAGCAAAAGGCTCAGACTGCAAAATTTGCTTTTTCCCGGGCCGGGAAAAGGCAAAATGGTTCAGACATCCAATTTGCTTTTTCCCGGGCCGGGAAAAAGCAAAATGGTTCAGACTTCCAATTTGCTTTTTCCCGGGCCGGGAAAAAACAAAAAAGGCTCAAACTTCCAATTTGCTTGTTTTCCCGGGCCGGGAAAAAGCAAAATGGTTCAGACGTCCAATTTGCTTTTTCCCGGGCCTGGAAAAACCAAAACACAACGCTCATGTTACATCCTTAGAACCGCGCGGCGCTGGAGCCACCGACCGTGTTGTATGCGCAATTACAGCCGTAGAACCCACCACCTCACATACCTGCACTTGTGGGCATGCTATGAGTGCATCTGCAGCTGGAGTGTCCAGCGCGTGCTTCCAGCAAGAAGAGTGGGGTTTGGCCCGTCGTCTTTCGCGTCCGCAATGCGAACCTTTCGCCATACTTGCGCAGTTTCCCACGACAAAGAATTTTCCAAGGGCCGGGAAGAAGCAATTGGAAATGTATCAGACTTCCAATTTGCCTTTTCCCGGGCCGGGAAAAAGCAAAATGGTTCAGACTTCCAATTTGCTTTTTCCCGGG